CGCCCAGCAAGGGCGACCCCTCCGCCGCCGCCGCCGCCGAGGTGGACGAGCGCTTCCCCGCCTGCATCCGGGACGCCGTGTCGCAGGTGCTCAAGGGCTACGACTGGAGCCTGGTGCCCATGCCCGTGCGCGGCAACGGCGCGCTCAAGGCCAAGCCGCACGTCAAGCGGCCCATGAACGCCTTCATGGTGTGGGCGCAGGCGGCCCGCAGGAAGCTGGCCGACCAGTACCCGCATCTGCACAACGCCGAGCTCAGCAAGACGCTGGGCAAGCTCTGGCGGTGAGTGGCTGCCCGCGGCACCCCGGCACTCGCGCCTAGCGGCGTCGGGATGCATCCCCGGGCACCTTGGAAAGGCTGCATTCGGCACCCTGCGCATCGTGCCCGGGCTCCCCTGGGTAGGGGCGTCGGGATGCATCCCTCCGCACCATGGAAAGGTTGTATTCGGCACCCTGTGTATCATGTCCAGGCTCCCCTGGGTAGGGGTGTCAGGCTGCATCCCTGTGCACCCTGGAAAGGTTGCATTTAGCACCCTGTGCATCATGCCCAGGCTCCCCCTTGGTAGGGGTGTCGGGCCGCATCCAGCACCCCTGTGCATTGTGCCCAGGCTCCCCTGGGTAGGGGCATCGGGATGCATCATGCCCGTGCATCATGCCCGGGCTTCTCTTGGTAGGGGCGTCATGCCCGGGCTCCCCTGGGTAGGGGCGTCATGCGGCATCCCCGTGCATGCTGGAAAGGCTGCCCTTAGCACCCCCGTGCGTCGTGCCCGGGCTCCCCTGGGTAGAGGTGTTGGGCTGCATCCCCATACACCCTGGAAGGGCTGCATTTAGCACCCTCACGCGTCATGCCCGGGCTCCCCCTTGGTAGTGGCGTCGGGCTGTATGCCGGCACGCTTATGCATCGTTTCTGGGCTCCCCTGGGTAGGGGCATCAGGCTGCATCCCCATAGACCCTGGAAGGGCTGCCTCTGGCATCCCCGTCAGTCGTGCCCAGGCTCCCCTTGGTAGGGGCGTCAGGCTGCATCCCATTACGCCCGTGCATCATGCCTGGGCTCCCCTTGGCAGCAGCATCAGGCCCCATCCCAGCACCCACCCCCGTGCATCATGCCCGTGCTCCCCATGGCAGGGGTGTCGGGCCCCATCCCAGCACCCCTGTGCATCGGGCCCAGGCCCCATCCCAGCACCCCTGTGCATTGTGCCCGTGCTCCCTCTGGCAGCAGCGTCAGGCTCCAAATCAGCAGCCAAAATGCCCTCCGCTTGGCCCATCTTGGGGGCAAAAAATAGGCTTGGAGTAAACTGAGCTGAATCCACCCCGGAGTAGGACTAGATGGAGCCCCAGGGGTTCATCCCCCTGCGGGGTGCGGTTGGATCCCTCACCTGCCCTGTTTGCCAGGAGTCTGAACCTAGTGGGCATCAAAATGTGGGCTCTGGGCTATGGTTGGAGCAAGCAGGGATGGAGAAGGGGAATGAGAAACCCTTGGGGGGCAAGATGGGATGGAGAAAAGTGCAGGAAGGGGAGCAAGAAACAGCAGGGGAGGGTGGGTGGCTAGCTGCTGTGAGAAGCCGATGCCCCTCGTGCCCAGACTGGGTGTCTGTGCCCGTCTTTACGCAGGCAGCCTTCGAGATGGGGTAGTTGCACCTCCTGAGACCTCAGGAGGGCAAAACTATCTGCAGAGCCCCCTGTTGCAAGGCAGCCAGACCCAACTCGCTCCAAGACCAGAGATGGGACGTAAAGCCCCAGCGGTTCTGTAGCTGGGGGGACCGGGGGTTACATGCGTCCTGCAAACCCGTGAGATTGCTCTGGCTTCTTCTTAGCTTTCAAGTTGGACCCCCTTGGGAAATGGGTTCAGGGGGGCTGCCTTTATTGCACGGCTCTTCCCCCCAAAGAGAACATATTTTGCTTTTTAAGAACTTCAAACCACTAACAAGGAAGCGATGGTCCCGGTGACCGCCCCGCAGTAAAGAACAGCTGCTACATGCCGCACTCGGGTTGCGGGATCAGGCTTAGAAAATCCTTCCCAAACTTCGCTGGAAGTTTTGCTCGAGCAAAGCAGGAAGGAGGGCCTGCTCCTGGGCTCGTTTAAACCCGGGAGGAGGTGACCCTCTTGCTTCTGTTGCAGGCGATGAGAATGGGAGCAGAACGAGACCCCTTGCAGGTTCCTCTCTGGGGCCGAGACTTGTGATGGGAACAGGGGAACCAGGGGCAGGCATGGCCCGTTAAGGGGCAGAGGATGCCCAGGAAAGGGTGCATGGCCGGTGGTTACATTTTTGGGAACACCTGCAAGCATCCAGCAGCTCCAGGCTCCCCCCCTGGGTTTCTCTTTTTACCAGAGCTGATCATAATGAATGAATTGGGTGTTTTATGTGGCTGTCGTAGAGCAGAATTCGTTTCAATCCCGAACTAGATGAGCACTGAAAGAACTGTTAAAATAAAGGAGGTGTAGGATTTTTCTTGGCTCCCGGGGTTATAATTAAATATGATGTGCAGTTTATGAGCCTTCTGTCTGTCTTGCTCCTTTTCCTTCTCCAACTTTTTATGACTGGGTGGGTTCTCGGACTGGGTTTCTACTAGTAGGAAATGTGTTTTTTTTTTTTTGTTTTTTGTTACTTTTACAATGGCTTTTCTTAGCTGTATTTTCCTTGGCTGCTTGAGGGAAAAAGCCTTAAAATGAATGATCTAAATGCCATTTATAGACCACACTTCTCATAAGCTTTTATGTTCTGCTATTTAGTACGTATTTATTCACTCAGCATTTCTTTTCTATTTGCCTACTGTAAATAACTTGTCAAACTATGCCACATTTAGTAGTTTTCTGCTTTCAAGGACTGCCTTTGGCTAGCTGGACTATAAACCGTTTTCTTTAACTATCCACTTTTCTTTTTTTGTTCAAATTAGTCCTTTGAGATTATGAACAAAATTCCCGGTTTGTTTTACATGTTGGTGACCGGTACGCTAAGAGGAGTCCCAGAGAGAAGAGGGAGAAAGTTTAGTTAGATGATTTGAGTCGCTGTTTCTTTGATTAAAACATAGCAAATAAAATTCAAACAAAGCTAGAGACTCATTTATCATGTTGTGAAAATGCAGTTTATAGGTGAAACGCAGCATTAATATTTAAAAGCGGAATATGGAATGGCATTTTAAGAGAAAGAAATGGGCTTTTGCCCTGTGAGCCGTATCCCGTATGGATTCTTTAAACGGTAGCTGATTATTTGCACTTGGTTTCACAAATAAAACAAGTTGTGCCTGTTACAGCCGCAGACTTAGTTCTGCAGTTTAAGTTGGTCGGTTTGTTGGATCAATACTCTGATGCCTGGGAAATAAATGCACCTGAGAACACAAGACAGATGCGTAGGGTTTGCATTTGGAGCAAACGCGGCTGATTTTTAAAACCGTTCCTTTTTCTTTTTCTTTTTAAAATCAAGCTTGTTAAGCGAGAATGAGAAGCGTCCCTTTGTGGAAGAAGCCGAGAGGCTCAGGGTACAGCACAAGAAGGATCACCCGGATTACAAATACCAGCCGCGGAGGAGGAAAAGCGTGAAAGCTGGCCAGAGCGATTCTGATTCGGGAGCTGAACTCAGCCATCACGCGGGGAGCCAGATCTACAAAGCAGACACGGGACTAGGGGGCATGGCTGATTCTCACCACCACGGCGATCACACAGGTGAGGACCGGAGAGGCTTACCGGCTTTCCCCAAAATAACCCAAGAGTTATCGTCGCGGCACAACTGTCGGCTTGCAGGTGAAAGGCGAGGGAAACGCCAGCTGACGTGCTCGGTTCTGCAAACACGTGTGCTTCCCTGTACTCGCGGTAGCACATGAGTGAGTTTGCAAGGTCAAGGCCTTTGCAGGTGGAGGCCCAGGCAGGCACAGTGTGAGCTGGTGACCAGCATGGTCTAAGCCCCCTTGTAGATAAATACCTGCAACCCTAAATCAAACCTCTCCATTTTATTTTTATTTTTAAAGTCTCCCTGATCTATCAGCAGGGTTGAGGGAGAGATGAGAATTTTAATTGAGGAGAAGATAAGGGTTAATTATTCATCTGGGACTTTGAAGGTGCCCCAAGAATGAGCTGGAGAGACTGAGACGGCAACATTCGCCCCAGCTCTTTCGGCGTCTAAAGTGGAGCTTTGAATTGGCAAACTCCCGGTGTTGACAGATTCCAGAAGTATTGCTAATGTCCTGTAGCTTCAGACATGTTTGTTCTCTCTTGCAAACCCTGTCTGCAGGATCTTCACCCCCACCTCCACCCCTTCTCTTTGTTCACAGGAGCAGAATTTTTATATATATATATAAATTTTTATATATATATATATACACACACACACACACACACACACACACACACACACACACACGTGTGTGCGAGAGAATAAGTCCTCACTTAAGGTCTCGTAAAGAAAGGCTGGACCATTTCCATTGAGCTAACATGCACTTGCAGCATCTAGGCGTGGCATTAGGTGTAAATCTCTTTGCCTTTCCAAAGGTTTTGTGCAATAGTCCTACGGCAACTCCAGAAAGGTCTTAAATGAGTCAGTAGTTACCAAGTTTAGCACAAAACTAACCACACTGGGCTAGACGGTCAGCTGGTGGAAATGGATATTGCCGCTGAAGCCGAAGACTTGGCCCGCTGGGCCAAGGAGCTCGAACAATGTCCTCCATCAGTTCTTGTGAAATGCTATTTTGCTTTTTGAGACTGTTTGGGGTTTTTGTTTGTTTTTTACCTATAATTAATTAACCTGCTCTTCCCCCCTCCAAATGGGCATGGGGTACTTTGATTCTAAAAACGGGCTTTCCCTTTTTGTCTTCAGGGCAGACTCACGGACCACCCACCCCGCCTACCACTCCCAAAACGGACCTGCATCACGGGAGCAAGCAAGAGCTGAAACACGAGGGGCGCCGCTTAGCGGAGAGCGGCCGCCAGAACATCGATTTCAGCAACGTGGACATCTCCGAACTGAGCAGCGAGGTCATTAACAACATGGAGACCTTTGACGTCCACGAATTCGACCAGTATTTGCCCTTGAACGGCCACTCCGCCATGCCAGCCGACCACGGGCAGAACTCTTCGGCGGGGTCTTACGGCACGTCGTATTCCCATTCGGCCGCCGGCAGCGGCGGAGCGGCCCAAGTTTGGACTCACAAGAGCCCGTCCTCGGCTTCCCCTCCGTCCAACGAAACCGGGCAGCAGAGGCCGCACATCAAAACGGAGCAGCTCAGCCCCAGTCACTACAGCGACCAGTCCCACGGCTCACCGGCTCACTCCGACTACAGCTCCTACAGCTCACAGGCGTGCGCCACCACGGCGTCCTCCGCCACGGCCGCTGCTTCTTTCTCCAGCTCCCAGTGCGACTATACAGACCTCCAGAGCTCTAACTACTACAACCCCTACCCTGGCTACGCCTCCAGCATTTACCAGTATCCGTATTTCCATTCCTCCCGCCGCCCCTACGCCACGCCGATCCTGAACGGCTTGTCCATCCCTCCTTCTCACAGCCCCAGGGCAAACTGGGACCAGCCTGTCTACACAACCCTGACAAGGCCTTAGAGGATGCTAAGAGTCTTTCAGGTCTTCCCAAAACTATATGCACTAAAATGAAGGAACGAAGAGGAAAATAATAATTAAAAAAAAAAAACCACACACACAACCCTCCCTCCACCCCCAAAACGGAGTGCTATGCCAGTTCCCGAAGTGCCTGCTGAGCCACTAGGAACTCTGTTCATTGCGACTGGATGTCCCCTTGCTTCGAAATCTCCCGACTTCCAAGAGAAGGAAAAAAAAAAAAGAAAAAAAAGACAGAGTTTTATTTTTCTTTATTAATAATAATAATTAATAATAATAATTGCAAAGAAATGGACTGTCTTTGGTTGGTTTTGGTTGTTTTTTTTTTTAATTCCATTTGAATAAATGAAGGACAAAACTGTTTAACTCCTCTGTGAGGACTGGAGCAAACTTTTATTCGTCTGGAAAGCCGATAAGTGCAAAAATGTTGGGGTGGGAGGGGAATAAAAGAAAAGAAGCCGTACAAGACTTTAAGGGTCTATTGCAATGTGAGATACGGACCAACCTTGGAGGCAAGAACTCACTAGGACCAAGAAATAAATATATATATAAATAATAAAAAAAAAAAAAAATCCAGCTATTCCATGTAACAATCTTGTGGGAACATAAGGGTCAATTTAGGACCAACCAGTTAATTGTCTGAGGTGTTTGTCTTTAGTCAGGAGTTCTTCTAAGCAAGGTTTGGCTGTAATTAACATTTTTTTTTTTTTTTTTTTTTTTTGGAAGCTTAAAAGTGGTTTTTATGGTTTTTGTGTAATTAAATTTTTTTTTTTTTTTCTTTTTTTTGGAAGCTTAAAAGTGGTTTTTATGTCTTTTTTTTTTTTTTTTTAAATCTGTTAAATATGTATTTATGTTCCGTATTATTTTGTCTTTTTAATGAAGTAATTTTTGTGCGAAAAGTAGAATTAAAAAAAAAAAAATTAAAAGGTGGGGCAGGGGAAAGCATAAAAAAATAGTGGAGAAGATACAATAAAATGGTGTTTGAATAATATAGGGTTGGGGGGAGGTTAAATTTTTTTTGTTGAACTACTGCAGCAGTTGGGTTTTGAGAGAAGGGCCGAAGGATCCCGTAGGGTCACACAACCGGTCCCGAACGCAAAGCCGAGACACCAATCTGAAACAACAACAGGAAGGGCCTGCTGCAAAAGTTACTAATTAAATTCAGTGGCTAAATAATTGGAAAAAGGAGCAGGGCAGCGGGGCTTTTCCTCGACCAACTGCTTTCAAGATGTTTCAATTGGATTGGAAGGCATCGTGGAATTTTTGTACACTTATTTTTCACAACCAGAATTGGGTGTTAGCCATTTTCAAGAGAAATTATGGATTGAGTTCCGCTTTCGTTTTGGCTTTTAGGGTTCAGAGATTGCCCACCAAGCTGTGAAACTAAAAACTTCCTCCACTAATTTTTTTTTTTTATTTTTTTTATTTTTTTATTTTATTTTTTTTTAGGTACTTAGTTTTAGACTAATATTTCACTGATATATTTCTACTTCTTCCATTGTATGCTGAGCATATAATAACCATCTATTTTATGGTAACTTGTGCCTTTAAAACTTTGTAAATCTTAAACACGTTTCAGAGGTTATCTTTTTACCTTTTTCTACATTTTTCCTACTCTTTTTTCTAAAAGTATTTTTTTGCATATTTCCTTTTGGGGGGACACGGGGGCGGGGGAAAATACAGAAAACTCATTTTTATGCAATCTATTTTTCTGTATAAAGTTTGAGAGATTTCAGCTGTTACTTATCTGTTCTGTTCACTAGCTTCTGACTAAGCAATGCTAACTTTTGTACAGATCAATTTGGTAAAATTAAAAAAAAAATGCTTTTTATCAACCACGCGTGGTGTTTTTCATTCTCTTGGACAAATCCCCTGCACTGCAAAATAATTCGCAAAACAGCAGAAAAGGAGCCAGCCTAGTTGTTGCTAAAGTGAAAATAAGTGATCAGGAGTGGATTTTTTTTTTTTTTTTTTTTTAATACCTTTTTTCCTCCTACCTTCCCCAACAGTTCAGTGGCACGGATCTGCGTCTGTAATCTTTTTCTCACTCGAGTAGCCCTTTCTCCTGTAAATCCATCCTGGGGACTTTCTTGGGACTACTCCCCTGAGTCAGGGTTTTCCAGGTCAAGTTGCCTGGTTTTAAACCGAGTTCATTTTGTTCTGAACAGCACGTAGGAATTTGACAGCAACAGATTCTCTTTTCTGGTTGGTAAGTTCTTGTAAATACCTCTTAATTATGATAGCAACAAAATTATAAGTTGCCTATAGTGGGTTGTTTTTTTAAATACAGTTATTTAAAATAGTTACATTTTTTGTCTCTCTTTTTTTTTAAAGCTCAAGTTTTCAATTGGGTTGTATCCACTGAGAGCGGTGCAAGATATTTTTTTTTTTTTTTTTTTCAGGCTGGAGCCTAAGTGGGAAAAGGGTTTTTGGAAAGGGTTTGCAAAGCTCACAAAAGCTTCTGTCTGAGTGTCATGGAAATATGCTATAGACTTGGTCGCAGTGCAACAGGGTGGAAAATATTTTAACGCAGGAAAATAAATGTGATGACAATTAATGAAGCTAGAGGATATTAACAAAGTCTGAACAACAGAGTCCCCAAGTGAATTTGCTGTTTGCAGTGTCTGCCAGCAACTATCTTGCCAGAGTGTCTGTAACTGGACACCATTTTCTCTGCGCTCATTTACAAAACTGCTGGCAAAATGACTTTATTACACTGGAAGCCAAAGATTTTCAGCAGTATTAGGAGACTTTTTTTTTTCTCCTTCTTCTCTTGCCCTGTTTACGACACAAGTTTCAAGTAATACTCTAGCTAATGTTCGCCCTGGGCAGGGCTGGACACAGGCATGGGTGGCAGTCCAGGTCCGGACAAAAAGGGGACCTGAAAATGGTGAATTATTATGATGATGATGATGCCTGGCAAAGAGGGGTCTGATACTAAAAGCTCACCCAGGGCTGCTAGGTACGGTGCTGGCCCGGGGGAAGCGGAGGAAAAGAGGTGCATTTAGGTAGAGGTGGTTCTGAGAGATGGAGCAGTCCTGCCATCCTATACATACACCAACATGGGATTAAATCACCGTCCAATATAGTTCCCTGCATTCATCTATCCAGAGGCTTTTCAAAGCTGTCCATTCAAACCCCTCGTGCCCACCGTCGCGACAAGCCACTCGTAACCCAAAAATGGGGGCACTCATAAGACTATCATAGTTGTGCATAGTAGCTAAAGTCCCAAGGCCTCTTGTATTAAAGGCTATGGGAAAGCACTCTTTTTTTTTATTTAAGTGTCAGCAGAATAAAACGCTACACCTCGGAGAGACTTCTGAAATAGCTGTAGGCGGTGTGGGCGTGATGATTAATTTAAATGGTGTTATGATGATTTATCTCAACGGTTCCAGCTGAGGATCTGGACCATAGGCTCCAAATGACTCGGCTGTGAAACTTGAACGCCGCCGAAATGCATTACACCATCCTTTCCCATGTAAACATCTCGACACGATCCAAGCCTTCGCTTCTAGCCAAGACCTGAAGACAGCTTTATTAGGTAAATCGTTCTAACAAGGGCCCAAACCCTGCCAGGTGGGGAGTGCCTTGAACTGCCCTTGATGTCAAGGGTAGCTGGAGCTCATCTCCTGCTTCCAGGATTATTTGGGCATCCGAGCTGGGCTCCGACTCTGCCAATAGCTCCCTAGGCTGCTGGAAAAAGTGGATTTACTCATCTGAACAAAATAATGCCTACCCTCTACAGCTGGTTTCTATCGGAGACACTGGATCACATGGCATCCAGAGGTTCGTGATCATTGGGGAGTAGACTAGAAAGCAGGACTAGATCATGCACTCAAGTTTTGCCCTTCTCCGAGTTTATATTTTCACGTCCTTAAAGCCAGGCTGTGACTTTCTAGCATTGAACAATCTGCCTAAAAAACTCCCTGCCGGGACACGGTTTGAGTCAAAGCTCCTTGGTTTCAACAAAATGCTATGTTGTGCTTCTTGTAGGCTTGCAATCATCCTTGTCCGGTCTAGAGGGGCCCGCGGCAGCTCCTCTAGGTCTGCAAGACCTGGAGCCACGGAGGCAGCACAATACGAGGACTGTAGAGTGAGGCTGTACCTGGCCTGAGCCCGAGGACGGGAGCCCAGTCCTTTTTCAGGTAAATACACGGGCCACATGAGTCTTTTTGGTTTCATGGGAGCTGTATCAGAGATGATTTTGGCCCATGGCCTGTAGGTAGACAGTTCTGCTTATGTATGAATTAGCTCCCAAGGGATATTTTCAGTAACACTGCTGCCTCCAAATTATTGGTATGAGATGAACCACGCAGCAGATTCCTCGAGAAGGAAACTGTCACCATGATCTCAAGCCGGTGTCCGAGCTCTGCACGTTGCCTACTCGGGGCGTATATGGGGGGCAAGCCCTGGTGCAGTGTCCTCCTCGACCCCTGTGATTCCTGCTCCACCCAAAGTTGAAAGCCAAGTGCCTAGCAGTGACAGCCCCAGCATTTCCATTCAGACTTCATGGCTGATTAAAATCTACCCGATTCCTTCTAAACTCTTCCTTTCACCGGAGCGAACGACCCGCTCTCCTTTTTAACGCGCTCGGTGTCCCGCTAATCAAGCTAACCTTTCTTCTGCAATTCTGCTCTCTGTTCACTGCTTGAGGCAATGCAGCTCCTCTCTCACAGCCTTGCAAACTGGTTTAAACTCATTTTAATGAAGTGCCATTTGTTTTTTGCATCCATCTTACAATGCATAATATAGCCCGAGGCCCCGAGCCTTTTAGGAAAGCTCCTAGTTTTATTTCTACCTGGAGAAAAATGTGTGTTGTGTTGTTTATGAGGATGCATCTCACCGTCTGCAGCCCGCTTTTCAAAATCCTAGATCTGCCCATGTATGCTTCCTCTCAACTAATGGGTGATCAATGTATCGGGAGTGGAGGACCGGCTGCGCTGGCATAGATTGAATCTTACTGCATTCAAAAGAGGGGCCATTATGAAATGCTGGCTGGCGGCAGCTTTGATTGCATACTAGGAAGTGCCATCATCTAAAGAGCCAGATGTAGGTGGTCACTCCAAACTGTTTG